AATGAAAACCACTAAGAATTGCTTCTTTGCCCAACTGCTTCTGTTCTTTCCATTTCCATTTTGAACATATAACAAACATATAATGTCTTGGATAATCTCTTCGCAAACCAACATATAACAAAAAAACAAAAAAGTGGAGCTGGGTTCCTCGAACCCAACTCGAACCCAATTATCGAACCCGAGCTGGGTTCGGTGGAACCCAGTTGCTGGGTTCCTCGAACCCAGTTGCTGGGTTCCTCGAACCCAGCTGATTGGGGTTCATCGAACCCAGCAAACTGGGTTCCACCGAACCCAGATCTGCTGGGTTCCACCGAACCCAGCAGACATAGAGGAAGAAGAGGAAGAAAGAAGAGGAAGAAAGAAAAAGAAAAAGAAGAAAGGAAGAAGATGATCAAAAGAGGGGAAGAAGATGGATAAAAAAAGGGAGATGGGTAAATTTGTAAGTTTTTATTTTTTTATTAAGGCAAAATTGGTTGATGAGTTGGTGGTGAGTTAGCACTAACGTGGCTTAAAAAAAAATTCCAAATCAACGTTTTGTAAAATTATTTTTGCTATGTCATAAAAAAAAACTATAAAAAATGCCACATGAGCGAGTTAATGGCCCGAATTAACAGAAGGACTAACGGAGTGCATTTCGTATAGTTAAGGGATCAAAAAAGTGCAAAAAATTGTTGAGGGACCAAAAATATGCAATCACTAAAGTTGAGGGACCAAATTTAGCATTTAACCCAGAGTTAAAACCTCCACTGGAGGAAGAGAGCTTGGTGAGATTAGGACTAGAGGTATAGTGAGCAGTTATCGGTGTGTCAAGCCGGACATCCTCCCGACAAAGACTCTCTTCATGGGCCACCAGACGATCATGAAGATCATCAAAAGATAGGGAAGAATCACAGGTCCGTAGGGAGGCAGCGATTTCACGAAACTCCGGACCAAGTCCATTGAGGATGTACACCGTCAAATCATCATCAGTAAAAAGGTGATCCACAGTTCCTAGTTCATCTGCCACAGTTTTCAAAGATTGAAGAAACTCAGAGACAGGACGACCATCTCATTTCATGGTTTGAAGCCTTTCCTTGAGGGTAATGACTCGCGTACGAGAGCAATTTGCATATAGTTTGGTAAGAGTGTCCCAGGCTTGCTGCGTAGTTGTTGCAGTGGCAATATATGGAGTGATGGTTTCGGACACAGAGGTGATGATGGCATGGCGCAGAAGCTGATCCTAGCGTACCCACAAGTTATAGGTGAGATCGGTGGTAAAGGGGCAGAGGTGGGTACCATCGAGAAAACCATCAAGTTCATAGCCACCAATGAGGGATATGAATTGAGCCCTCCAAGATGACTAGTTGTTAGGTGTGAGCTTTACTGGGAAAGCGACAGAATTGAAGGAGATGGGATTCCAGGTGACGTTGGGTTCAAGGATTGACACGATTGAGTTCTTGGAAGCAGCGGAATTGGGGGTTTCATCACGGTTTGCCATGGGAGTAGAGGAAAGCTCATGAGAGCAAGCAGGCTCTGATACCACTATTAGGCTTGAAAGATGTGTATTTGAGAAAGACTTCTTCATTAATTTCCAAGAAACAATACGATACAATATATACAGAATTACAAAGACTAAATCTAATCTAATTAGGAAACAATATTTGTATAATATATTTACAATTATACTATTGATCTAGAGAATCTGGAACTTCATGGTGGTGATTTTCTATCCTTAATATATAGAATCATCAGGGATTTCCATAGTAGGTTGAGGAATTGATTGTGAGACTGTCACAGGCGTAGTGGAATATATATTGAGAGCAACAATATATGGAAGCATCATCGTCATTAAAGAAAGCAATTTCTATGTATACAGAATGAAGGTTGATGATATATAACTGATACTCTCTCCTAGAATATCTCAAATTCCATTATAGGGTTACTTTTGTTTAGAACATACATATATGGAACAAGCTAGCTATGTAGGTATATATATAAGTATATATATCCCACACTACATGGTTAAAAATATGCACGTGGAGCATTTTTTTTTTGTTCATAGTACATAACAGATGCAAATGGAGCTAGCTAGTAAAACCACAAAGAATCCGCCTCATTGCCCCGATGATCAGGAGAGCTGGAGGAGGCCGGCCGTTGGGAGGAGGCTGCAGTATTGAATTGGTGATTACTCTTAATGTGCAGGGCCTCAGCTTGTGCCATTGCCAACTGGGTTTGGAGGGAGTCAATCTGTTGTTGCAATAACGATATGGCTCCAACACATCCGTACACCGGATCGCGTACCCTGGCATTTGCTTCATACACCATGGAACTCACTGCATCACTACGTTGGTGCTCTGGTAGTTCCTGCAAGTTTCAACAATATAGAGCCTTAGACATGGTTATACTAACCCTTTCAAAAATTATTACTTCAAATACAAAAAGAGAAAAACCATAACATATAATTATATGTAGAATTCTTTTTCTTTTTATTATAGGAAAATTTAAAGATCAAATACGCACACATGTATTCTTATTTGATGTTGCAATGCATGTCATCTTTACATCACACTTACAAAATAATTTAATTTTTTTATTTTAGAAAGTGAGACAATAATTAGCATTTTAGAAGTTTATGTATGCCTGCAGCTATCACATCTCTTGTCCATTTACTGGTCACTGTTTGATGCACCTAGCTCTAGCTATACTTTTGTTAAAGCATATAAAGCTTAACGTTAAAAAAATAAAACACAAAACAAAACAAAAATGATTCAATGTATTGACAACGTCAGTTCATGACAATTTTTTGACAATATTTGTTGATTATGGCATAAATAATTTTTGAAAATTGTTTTGATCACTTGATGAGATGGAGAAATTAATATATATATATGTATATTTATCATATCATCTATTTATTATTAACAAATATTGTCATTAAACACTATTAATAAATTATAATAAGAAATAAAATAAAAACATAAACGATAGTACATCAAGATGCATGTTTACTTTTCTTGTTTACAACCTAAAATTGTATTGAAGATAATAAGGTTAAAAGGCAGTTAGTTGCACAAAAATTTCAAATATGTTTTTTTTTCCTGAACCAAATATGTTATTTGGTACAATATAATGTAAAAAAATTTAAGGTAATTAGAATAATAAAAAAAGAAGTATTTTTCAGATTAAATTATATTGAACTAAAAATCACTAATTACTAAATGAAACATCTTTTGATCAAAGAGAGAAGTTCCTCTTTTAATAACTGATATGTGCAATCCGAGCTACTAATGTTTTGATTGTTAAGCACCAAACTATAGAACAAATATATCTAAAGTAATTAAATTAATTATCCCAAAATATAAAAGGTACTCGGTTTATTTATTGGTACTTTGGTAACCTATTTATTATTTACCAAGGACGAATCGCCTGCAATACTTTATGCCACTTTGGAACATGAACGGTAAGAATAAGAATCCCTGTCAAGCATCAACCATGAGAATAACAACGGTAATTAACCAACATAACAGACAAACAAAAAAGTTAAAGAAGGAAGTGGGCCCATTGTAACTTTGCTTTTAGATAAAAACTTTTCCAAATAGGTACCAAGTACTTGAGGGGAATGGAAATAAGAGAACTGGGAAGATAAATGAATTTTTTAATTAATTAAATTATAATATTTTTAAGTAATATAATGTAATTTATTAAAAAAATGTATCCCATCCTCTCTTATTTTCCCCTCAAACCAAACATATTCTTAATAATCATAATAAATATTGATCATGATTATTGTCAATTATTTTGATACCACAATCATAAATTAATTAATTAATTATAATAATAATAATAATAATAATAATAACAATAATAATAATAAGGTGTTTGTCAAAAATAAGAAGGGAAAAATGGGAATGAACCTGCAACATCTTGTTAACATTACTAGCGCCAAACACCTTGTGGACGCTAGCAAATTTCTGAGGCTCATTTGCAGGAAAATAAGGAGCAAAAACACAGTCCGGAGCACATCTCCTCCTCAGTAGCTTGCACGCTGCACATGGGGCCAACATACCATGTTTCCTACTGCCCTCCTTCATTCTTCTTACCCAGTAAGCTAAAAAAGGCGCTAACCGGAAGCAGAAAAAAAAAAAAACTAGGGCAAAGGGTCAATCAAAGCAATTTAATTAGTTGCAATTTCTTAATTAGGTACAATAATATATATTTACATCAATCAATATGTAGAAAAAAGATGATTAAGGAACATAAAATGATATGTTTATATAAATAGAACTCTAAATTATTTGGCTAAATTTACTTTGAAGTTAGGACTAAAATCAATAGGGTTTGAAGAAATCAAAGAAGAGTTAAAGGAAATTGAAAGTGAAAGGTAAAATACAGCTTTAGAAAAGAGGAGGAAGGTGAGGAAGGGGGGGCTTCAAAGGAGAAACGGTGGTGAGTTATATAGAGAGAAATGCTGGGACAGCAAATCTTTGTTGGAGCCCACCAAAGGAATCCCCTAGATTTTGTTGGACAAAAACGTCAGTTTTTACAAGATCTTTAGACCCACCTCTACGTTATACTTTTTATTAATATAATATATATATTCTTGGGTCCTTAATTAAGTAACTGCTGGGTTTAAGCAAAATGCAATCAAAGGAAAATCCTTCAAAAATATTTTCTAACGTTTGGTTAATTTTTTTTGTACCAACAATGTTTGGTTAATTAATTGATGAAAATTAAAGAGCCAATCATCTTTAGATGTCTCTTGGCAACCGTAAAAAAATGGAACCTATATATATTGTTCAAACGAAGGAGTTTTGAAGATCACTCTCCCCTATTACAACGAAATAGTAAAAGCTCATAAAATTTAAAGAAGCGAGGGAAATGAAGAGAAGCGGAGGGAAATGAAAAATTTTTTAATCAATTATATTACGATTTTGGGCTTATGTCTTTTTTTTTTTTTTGATAAAATAAATTTATTTAGGAGTTATAAGGACTTACCCGTGTTTTAATTTGATTAAACAAAAAGGCTTTTCCTCCCATTCATTTGTTTTTAAACATAACAAGCTCTAAAGGTCATCCCTTGTATGCCATATTTTCATATATACCCAAAAAATTAACTTATTTTGCAATAACATATATTTTTAAAATTTTTAAAAATTTAAGATTCTGAATTAAAAGTTTGAATACTTAAAACCAGTGAAAAGATTATCTCCTGTTAGGCTATTATATAAACCATCAACGGTTTTAATTTTTTTTCTTAAAAAAAAAAAAGGAAGAAAATCTTGGCTTGGACAAATTTTAGTAATTAAAACTGATAAAGACAGGACTGATTATAATAATTTATAATTTAATACTTTCTTCTAATCTTTTTTATAATAATTTAGTCTTATTTTCCCATCTTTATATTATTTGATTTGATACTTTTATATACTTACTAATGATCAATGACAATTAATAAACATTGATCTAAATGAAACTATTAAATAAAAGTTACCTATGAGAATAATTTTTTTTTAATTGTCATCTATTTAAACCTAGAGCAATTAAAAAAGGAAAAGCAATATATTTTTTATATTTTTGGCCAATAACAATTTTATTTTACCAAATATTATTTTTTTATTTTAAATTACAAAATAAAAAACAATACTGTTCTATACTTTAAAGTTTAATCGTTTCATCTGCATGTAATCATGTAGCTTACACTTAAATTTTTTTATTTTTATTAAAAAATTACTATCAAATAATTTAAGTCGGTTGGTTACTCCACCGCAAATTATTGGTTGAACCGATTAAGTAAAAAACTGATAACTTGATTGGTCAACCTCCGTTTTGAATTTATAAACATTTGAAAATGAAATAAGCTCTTGATTGGTCACTGTGGCTTCCAAGAAATGCTATGCTATATGATGGAAATTTTTTGTCTGTGGAAAGTGAGTTTGAGCTGAGTCGAAGCCGTTCGTACTTGGGCATCAACGGATGTATTGATGGCCAGCCAAACTTCCATCTTGATTGGTGAATGTCATGTCCCTAGAATATGTCTGATAACAAAGGTCGGAGAAAATGTGCAGACAAATATATAAATTTTATTTTTTTATTTAAGGATATGAATTATATCAATTTTTAAATAAGAGAGTAAATTTTTATTTTTTATTTAAGAATTAATTAAATAGTTAAAAAGTCATTTATTATATTAATATTACTATCTAATTAATCCTTGAATAAATTTAAAAAAAATTAAAGTCTTTAAAAAAAGTTAAAATTTTTACCATTTTATTTAAAATTAAAATAATAAAATTCATCTCTTTAAATAGAAGAAATAGAAGAAATGACAAACTTTATATACTCATTTGTATATTTTCTCACTAAAGTTGTGGCACACTAATTACAATTAATAATGGGATTGAGTACCCCTTATGCTTTAAATAATAAAATGTTAGGTAGTTTTTTGGCTTTTTTTAAAAAATTAACAAATAGTTTTTTTATACATTAAATAATAAATTATACAATAAAATATAATTCTTTTCTTTTCAAATCCCTTTTCACTCAAATTAAAATTCTAACTTAACATGTCTGATATATAAATATTCCACCTCTTAACCTATAACTTTCCCTAGGGAAAATAGCGTAGCAAGCATTTTGTTTCAAGCAATTGCACCGCAATTTGATAGCGACTCCCAATAGTTAATTTTACAACTCCTTAATTACCTGAGGAGAAAATGACATTTCGATTTAACAATGAGCAAAAGTTGGAAAGAGAATAACAACCGCAAGGCACAAGCAGAGACCCTAATAAAGATAACTATATAACCTATATAGGCAACATATAGAAATACTACAGAACCATCGGACAAATTCCATGTTTGGTTTTCTTGTCTCCATGGTGATGGTTGTTTTGTCAAAATTTCCTCCAATTATTTTTTTCCGCAATTGGTCATGGAGAATAATGGATTATTTGTGTCCGTCCAAAAAATATTTTTTATGCTGAAACACAAGCTCTCAATGCACTGTTTCGCATGAGTGTTACCGTCACTTCATGTTAGAAGAGCATGTAGAATTGGAATAATGAAAAATTTTATTTTAATGTTATATTGTTACAATTAATATTATTTTATATATTTAACTCTCAAATAAAACATTTAACAAAATACCTCATCCCTAATACATAGAACTTCTTTAAAGGTTATACAAATATTATTTAATTTAATTTATATTTTTTATATTCAAATAAAATAAATTTAAATTGAAAAAAGAGAGAGAAAATATTTGATCCAACGGCTAAATGAAATCATGTTTGCAACGCCAAACATTATGTCAGGCGTTGCAGCTTATTTTCTTTTAATTAAATATTAATTTTGATTTTTCAACTTTAAGGTCTTACATAGTTTTTTTTTTAATTCTTTTATTTATTTTTTTATCCATCAACTATAAAAAAATATATTTTTTTAGTTATTCCGTTAATTAATTTGTTAAATTTATCTATATATACACATTTCTTGTCACTCAATTTAAAAATTTAGGAATTAAAAATATATATAGACAGATTTAAGTGACTAATTGACTAAAGAACTTAAAAAGTGCATTTTTGAAGTGTATAAAAAAGTTAAGAGAAGAAAATTGTGCAAAGCTCTAAATTTAAGAGACCAAAATTGGTATTTATCCTTTTATCTTTTTAAGTATTTTTTAATGAGAAAAAGTGTAAGGATACAAACTTTATCATTTTTTATTTAAGAATATGAACTTTGCTAATTTTTAAATAAAACAGTAAATTTTCAACTTTTTCTATTTAAAAATATCAACTTTACATATCTTTATTTAATGATCAATTGAACAATGATGCTAATTAACGTGTCAAATGACTTTTTCAACCATCTAATTAAGCCTTAAATAGAAAAAACCGAGAGTCGACATCATTGAAAAGAAAAAATTGAAAACTTACTGGTTTTATTTAGAAATTAGCAAAATTTAAATTTTTAAGTAGAAACAATGACAAAATTCATATCCTTATTTTTGCTTTTTCTCATTTTTTAATAGTTAAAAAATGAAAACAGAACAAGGTTTTTTTGAGAAGTGTGAACCCACCTTTAGTGAGAAAAGAGTTTTGTCTCTCTTTTTATTTATTTATTTATTTTTTAGAAAAGAACAATGAAAGATAACATCATTGTCCATGCTCTAATGATATTACCTACAATTAATTTTAATTTTTTTTGTTTGAATATTGACTTGAACATGAATTTTATATGAAAATTTAATAATATATGTAAATTTTTTTTTTTGAAAAGACAAAAGAAACCAATTTATTAAAAAAGTACAAGAGGTATTCAACTCATAGACATATAGAAGTTTTGTTAGTGAAGCTAGCACCAACTAATTAAAATTTATTATAGCATTTTGTTGCCAAAAGTGCTTGGGTTTTGGCACCAGTCAAGGAAAGAGCAAGGCCAACCTTCTAAATTTCCACTTACCCAAAAATAGGAACGACTTTGAATCACCTTGAGCACACAGTCCTCAATCATCTTGCCTTCACCAAAAATTGCAGCATTTCTTGCTAACCAAAGTGACCAAACAATTGTATACTAGACAATATGCCATCCCTTTTTGTTCTTTGTTGCCCATGTGTGTTGGGTGAAAATTGCCCTACTATTGTTGTGCAAAACATATTGGATACCCCACCATTCAAAACACCGGGTCCATATTTTATAGGAGAATTCACATTGGAACATTAAGTGATTTGTGTCTTCAGTTATGTTCCCACAGAACACGCACCTTGCATCCATGGCATCTTTGATGACATTTCTCCTCAATAGGTTGGCCTTAATATACGATCTTGTAGTAGCAGCCACACAAAAGTGCAAACTTTACTTGGCACCATTGGGTTCCAACATTGATTTAGAGTCCTCGAACCTTCTTTAGCCTCATTGGATGTTAGCCACCTATAAGCAAATTTGACAAAGTAATGACCATAGTTTTCATGTATCCAGCAACACCTGTCGTCCATTGTCTTCTTTAGATTGTTAGAGTTTAATTTGTGTTGTAGATTTTCTACTTGGCTTTCCTCCCATGTGTATAATTGCCTCCTCCACCTTAAATTTCAACTCCATGAATTCCTAATCTAGTAGCCTATTTGGTGAACTGAGTTCCATTTATCTGTAGCAAAGAAAAAAGTTTTGGGAACAAGTCCCTTAAACTGTCATCTCCAGTCCACTTATCAAGCCAAAAGTTTTACCATCACCTAATTTAATTTTGAAACTAGCTTTTAACCAATCCACTTTCTCATCTAACACCCAATTTATACTATTAACGTCTCTCCACCATCGTGACCTTCCCTCACCCCCTTTCCTGATCCAACTACTACAGTTGCCCTCTTCCTATTGTATTTTACA